TTTATAAAGTTAGAAACGCTTTTCTTAATATTTTAAATGTAAAGATCGCCAAACGCGTTGCGTTGTATACCCCTCAATCGTTTTCCTCCAGCCATTGAGTAAAATAATACAACAAATAATATATTATTATATTCTGTTATTATATTATCCATACTTATAGTATATACTTTTGTAAAAGTGAGTTGGTTTGTTTGTTACGCTTTCACGCCTAAATCACTAAACCAATTTGAAAAATTCTTTCACCAATATGGAAAGCTACATTATCAGCGAGTGACATAGGCTACTTTTCACATAGGCAAACGCTAAAGATATATAAAACCTATTTGTATTCTGTTACTCTTATTACTACTGTCCCTTTAACGTTAAAATTAACTTAAACTAATTTCAAAGTATTACTACCTATAGGCATATTTACTAACGAGAGATTTTCGTGAGTAATAAAATATGTAATACTAACGCTATGTAAAGTAACGTTACGCGTGACTTTAGGATGACGATTCTCTTTATGTTGAGATGCTTTGAAGAATTGTGAGATTTCTACAAATCTAGTATAAATTAATAGACTACGCCATGTTGAGGCGTAAAGCATTACATACTTTTGATTTATCTTGTGAACAAACAATATTTTTTAGTGGAGTATAGTATTAATCCTTCAATTAAAATATATTCCAACACAAAATAATTTTTATTTTTCTCTTAAATGCAGGCTTTAAAAAATTGTTATCCAACTAATCCTAATTTTAGCTGCTAAATATCAATGTAATTTGAGACATAATAAATTTTACTCGGAATAAAATCTTCATTTATGTACAGGAACATGAAAATGTATGCGACCCTGCCTCAAACGACACCAAAACACTCGAGCCAAAAACGTCTACAATTAGGTCATTACGAAATTATTTAGCGGATATGTTGTCGTACAACGTTCAACAATGGTGAATGGTTTGGTACTTGAGTGTATCGTTTTATAGTGTTTATCGACCAAGACGTCGATCACGTGGGCCACACAGGATGAAACACATGGGTCTATAATCAGCCGTGACATATGGGGTTTGAGTATTAAAGTACTAAAAACCTTTGAAGCTGTGATTTGAAAGGAGTTCTAACATAGAATTTTATTGCTATTGTGGATCATAGGATAGGTACATAGAATTGGTTACCATGATAGATTGTCCGCCAGGTTAACTTGTATTTGTGCGATCTTATTGGGAAAAGATACGACTATGTAAATCATGAATGTTGATTAACTCACGGTTGTTTTTTTTCACATTATGTATAGACAGTTATAAGATCTAATAATAAAAACGCCAACATATTAATAATAATAATAACTATTATTGTTAATTATCAGGTATGATTTCTTTCCAAATAATCAAGAATTTCTTCGATGATTCAAAATTTAATTTAAAAGAACATACAAAATAAACGATTTATTATTGTTATTAATATAACGTTATTGTGAGTGTACCAACTTTTTTTTTAAATACCAGCTTTTAGAGCCGTTTAGCGAAATCTGTACCGTCTGGCTCACCACAATCTCACATCACTGGCCAAAACAAACAGTAGGTACACTACGTTCTTTAATAGTATGTATTTATTACTGTACTCTGTACACTACGTTCGCGTTTTTAACATCAAGACTATTTTATGTCAGAAATTTTGTTTTAGACTAGTTATCATTATACTAAACAGAAATATTAATTTCTTTCTCCTCATTACCACTCTACTAGTACAATAGGGGAAATTGTGTCGAAAATGGGTTGATAAACGTCTGGCCAGCGTGGTATAGTAGGCCAAACCCTCCTTTCTAAGGAGAGGCTTGTGTCCAGCAGTAGACTATTAAAGGCTGTTGATGATGTGATGTGAATGGATTGAGAAATCAGGATTCGCTATTGATGATAGGGAGACAAAGAGAAGAGATGACAAATTAACCCCTTCCTTGTAATTATGCTTTATCATCACTTCATGTTCAGTTGTACCAAGACTCTCCTTTGTTTTTTTTTCTGTGCGGAAATCCCTTCTGATACAACCCACCGATGGTTATGTCGGACTCAAAAAGACCAAAAAATCGCACGCCTTCTCAGGTACCAGTTGCCGGGGAACCAGGTGTACCCTAGGGAGCAAGAAACTCCTAGAATAATAGTATTTATAATGTGTGTGTTAAATAAATCTTTTGTAATGCTATGTAAGCTTACTAAAAAAAATTAATACTAAACCTTAATTTCTGAAAATTATAACTAATCATAAAATTTGTAAGAATGACATCAAATGTCTTGGTAAGTAAAATTTATAATTTTATATCTTTATAAGGACAAGAGCATAACCTTATTAAAATTAGGTAGATACCGGTATTGTGTATCTGATAAAAACGGAACATCCCACACCTACATTAACACTAAGTCTATCTCAACAAGAAGAATTTATTGTACTAAACCCGGCGCCGTTCAGGGCCTCAATTCTGCTATTTTATGTTTACGCCAAGCCAGTGTCATACCACTGACACGCTATTGAGATGCCATCGAGTAGCCATTGGCATCGGTATAAATATCGGAAGGCAAGGAAATGATTTATTTGTTTTTATTATAATAAATTATTAAAAGAAGTAAATAAATTAAAATAACTTATTAAAAAAATGAAATAAAAAAATAAAATAAAAATTGAAATAAATTATTAAAGAATCATTTCCTCAAAAAACGTAATATATTTTCAAATTATAAGGAAATGACTTATTTATTTAAATAATTATTTTATTTTATTTTTAATATATATTTTTTTTTTTTAAATTTTTTTTTTTAATAAATTATTTCTTATTTTTATAATTTTATTTTTTTAATGCCGTAAAAAAAACGTAATATATTTTCAACTACCGATATTTATACCGATGCCAATGGCCACTCGATGGCATCTCAATAGCGTGTCAGTGGTATGACACTGGCTTGGCGTAATAGCAGAATTGATGCCCTGAACGGCGCCGGGTTTAGTACAATAAATTCTTCTTGTTGAGATAGACTTAGTGTTAATGTAGGTGTGGGATGTTCCGTTTTTATCAGATACACAATACCGGTATCTACCTAATTTTAATAAGGTTATGCTCTTGTCCTTATAAAGATATAAAATTATAAATTTTACTTACCAAGACATTTGATGTCATTCTTACAAATTTTATGATTAGTTATAATTTTCAGAAATTAAGGTTTAGTATTAATTTTTTTTAGTAAGCTTACATAGCATTACAAAAGATTTATTTAACACACACATTATAAATACTATTATTCTAGGAGTTTCTTGCTCCCTAGGGTACACCTGGTTCCCCGGCAACTGGTACCTGAGAAGGCGTGCGATTTTTTGGTCTTTTTGAGTCCGACATAACCATCGGTGGGTTGTATCAGAAGGGATTTCCGCACAGAAAAAAAAACAAAGGAGAGTCTTGGTACAACTGAACATGAAGTGATGATAAAGCATAATTACAAGGAAGGGGTTAATTTGTCATCTCTTCTCTTTGTCTCCCTATCATCAATAGCGAATCCTGATTTCTCAATCCATTCACATCACATCATCAACAGCCTTTAATAGTCTACTGCTGGACACAAGCCTCTCCTTAGAAAGGAGGGTTTGGCCTACTATACCACGCTGGCCAGACGTTTATCAACCCATTTTCGACACAATTTCCCCTATTGTACTAGTAGAGTGGTAATGAGGAGAAAGAAATTAATATTTCTGTTTAGTATAATGATAACTAGTCTAAAACAAAATTTCTGACATAAAATAGTCTTGATGTTAAAAACGCGAACGTAGTGTACAGAGTACAGTAATAAATACATACTATTAAAGAACGTAGTGTACCTACTGTTTGTTTTGGCCAGTGATGTGAGATTGTGGTGAGCCAGACGGTACAGATTTCGCTAAACGGCTCTAAAAGCTGGTATTTAAAAAAAAAGTTGGTACACTCACAATAACGTTATATTAATAACAATAATAAATCGTTTATTTTGTATGTTCTTTTAAATTAAATTTTGAATCATCGAAGAAATTCTTGATTATTTGGAAAGAAATCATACCTGATAATTAACAATAATAGTTATTATTATTATTAATATGTTGACGTTTTTATTATTAGATCTTATAACTGTCTATACATAATGTGAAAAAAAACAACCGTGAGTTAATCAACATTCATGATTTACATAGTCGTATCTTTTCCCAATAAGATCGCACAAATACAAGTTAACCTGGCGGACAATCTATCATGGTAACCAATTCTATGTACCTATCCTATGATCCACAATAGCAATAAAATTCTATGTTAGAACTCCTTTCAAATCAAAGCTTCAAAGGTTTTTAGTACTTTAATACTCAAACCCCATATGTCACGGCTGATTATAGACCCATGTGTTTCATCCTGTGTGGCCAACGTGATCGACGTCTTGGTCGATAAACACTATAAAACGATACACTCAAGTACCAAACCATTCACCATTGTTGAACGTTGTACGACAACATATCCGCTAAATAATTTCGTAATGACCTAATTGTAGACGTTTTTGGCTCGAGTGTTTTGGTGTCGTTTGAGGCAGGGTCGCATACATTTTCATGTTCCTGTACATAAATGAAGATTTTATTCCGAGTAAAATTTATTATGTCTCAAATTACATTGATATTTAGCAGCTAAAATTAGGATTAGTTGGATAACAATTTTTTAAAGCCTGCATTTAAGAGAAAAATAAAAATTATTTTGTGTTGGAATATATTTTAATTGAAGGATTAATACTATACTCCACTAAAAAATATTGTTTGTTCACAAGATAAATCAAAAGTATGTAATGCTTTACGCCTCAACATGGCGTAGTCTATTAATTTATACTAGATTTGTAGAAATCTCACAATTCTTCAAAGCATCTCAACATAAAGAGAATCGTCATCCTAAAGTCACGCGTAACGTTACTTTACATAGCGTTAGTATTACATATTTTATTACTCACGAAAATCTCTCGTTAGTAAATATGCCTATAGGTATTCAACCTAAGTAAGTAAAACCTAAGTAAAAACTATATTACTATCGTTGTGAGTTTTTCTTTGAAAACGGTATGGCGGCGTGTATGTAAAATTGTACGTAAACAGTGAACAGCGATAAGGCAGCATAAAATACGATCAAACACATTTATTTTCATTTACCCATATAAAATAACATTTAACATAAGTATAGGAAAGTCCATGTAACATTTTTAACAAGCAAAACAAAGTCTAAAATTAGTTATTTAATAATACTACATGTATATTGTTTACCACTTTATCTACATTTCAAATCTACCACATAACCAATATTTAAATTTATACAAGAAAATTCATAGGTGCCTATTATATATGCAAATAATATACACTAAATAAATCTTAGCAATAAGGCCGCCCTTTGTACATTACATTTTTGAATTTTTTATGTACCATAATACTTGTAAAATGTGTGCAAATAAAGAGTTATCTATCTATCTAAATAGTACTAATATATTAAATTAATAATACCCCATTTTTAAAAGACATTGCAATTTGGTTCGATAATTAGCGGGTTTGCGTTAGAATTTTAACTCAAGTGATTATATTGAGCGAAATCGACATTCTATCATCGTGTCAGAGCCAGAGCCCGAAGCCGACATTGAATCGTTCGTACTGTGTCAATTATTATTATTACTACTATTATTATTACTTAACAGTGTGTACTACTTGCCTATATGTAAACAGAGAACATGTTGCATTTAGCATACATCGCCTCTTTGAAGCAGAAGCAGAAATGAAGTTTTAAGTAATGAAGAGCAATATATAATAAAAAGAAGTTAAATGTCATGATCAACTTCTAAGATGGTAATAGCGGATTAGTGGGTTAGCTTTAGCCGTGTCCTATCGAGAGGGCAGCGAGGCGGCGAGCGAAGAAGACAGCGATAGCTCGGAGCGGACGATAAGTAGTACACGCGGTGGAGCGCAGCGGCGAGCGGGCGCACGACAGGGGCGCGGGCGGTCGTCAGTGCCGCGGCACAGCTCGCTCGTAGAGCCCGTCACCGCTATCGCCTGCGCGCCCGCTCTTTAATGAAAATGAAAGTCAAATGTGGTCGCCGCACTAAGAATATGGACAAGCTCATAGCGGCTGTCCAAGCTAGAGAGTGTTTATGGGACAAGAGTTATAGAGGACACCGCAATCGGTTTAAATTAGAGCGATATTGGAATGAAGTAGCAGCCGAAGTGGGCACGACCAGTGAGTATCAGTAGCGTTTTGCGTTTTATTGTGTGAAGATTAATGTTCAAGGCGGATAGCGGTCGGCGTGTCGGTGAGCTGTGCCGCGATGCGGTACCCGACGCTACACGTACCTACTTTATATTGATAATGTTCCGTTTGTTTTCCACGCGCAGCGCTTTGCGCATTGAAGATAAATTGTTGTACATCTAACAAATACGATTAGTTAGATACTCGTACTTTAAAATGATTACTGCGACCGTTAATCTTGATGTGTGATAGTATCTACTGTGCAATAGCTAACTTTTGCACAGTACTATTCGTATTTGTGTCTATGTAGAGTGGCATTTAGTACAAAACATTGCTAATAAAGGCATTTAAGGCTAAAATAATAAATAAAGGTAATAATATCTGGATCATTATTAAATATAGAACCTCAATAATACTGACAAATATGAACTTTGAAATGTTGCCATGTCTCTGAAGTATAATTTATTGCTTGAGTGTGAGATATTAGGTTTATTTTAGGTAATTTTTTTTAGGAGTATTGATTGCTTTAATTGAATAATTCCAGGTTTGAATTGCAGAAAAAAATGGAAGAATCTCAAAGATCAATGTCGAAAGGAAATGAAAAAGAACCCCACGGATTCAGAATGGCCACATTTCCAAAAATTGAAGTTTATTCATCATCAATTCTTGACAGAGGATGAAGAAGGCGATGATGACACTACCGATGAAGTTTTCAATGCACTTGATGAATCAATCAAAAGGCCCAAGTTAGGGTACACGTTGAGAAAGAAACTGTTGATGAATAAAAGGAGAACCATCGATGTTGATATGAGTAAACTGATTGAATTAGTGCGAGTAAGGGATATTATTTGGAATCGACAGTTGAAAGGTCACCACAATTGGCACAAGCTAGACGAAAGCTGGAAGGAAATCGCACAAGAATTGGATGTTACACGTAAATTGTTCGCCTATTAACAATGTACTCAATAGTAGTGGTCACTCAGAAGTCTAAATTCGACCATACCTCATTTTTGTTTAATAGTTTTATGCACTTTTATGCACTTATGCATATAAACTTTAACTGTGTCAAATGTCAGGTTTCCGTTCGGGCCATTTTCTTAAAAAGGGGTACAAAGTTTTCACTTCACGTATTAATATAATAGAAGATTTTATCAAAATAAAAATCTAACGCCTAAAATGTCATTTTTAAAATTTAAATTTGAACTATTCATACACCGTTTAAAAACACATGAAAAGTGACCTTACATCGAACATGACACCTTTAATTTAAAGAATTTGATTTTGAGTCTATGGTCGCATATAACTTTACGAATACGATTACAAATATGAATTTTACGAATATGGTCCTCAAAGTAATCTTAAACATTTATGTTTGTTAAATAATTTTCATTAGCAGTCATGTTATACTTGGTCTCAGAGACTCTAGAACAAAATAACACAACGTTTAAAGTTATTAACGAGTTTAGTCGCTGAAAAATGATTAAACCTAGCAACTTGAGGCAGTAAGGAATAGCACAAAGTAAAGACGCAAGGCAAGAGTGACTAAAAAGGTTACACATTTTTGCGATGATAGTAACAACCGTAGTCGCATTATTCAGAATACTCGTATTAAGAAAGCATATTAAAATAGATCAATTTTTACCTTACACGATACTGAAATAATATTAAAAATTTAACTTGATATCGAAGTAATATATTTATTTAAATAAATCTTTGTGCTAACCAATACCATAAACGGGTCTTGTACTTTTTACACATCTTAATACAATACAAACAAATTCATATTCTACTAAATAATACAAAACAAAAACATGATATTTAACAAGCGTATTCGTGTCAAAGGCACAAAAATTGATAAACTTTAACATTTACTTATAGGTGATGAAGCCAGACTAAAATGGAAGTACCTAAGAGACCAAGCGAGGAAAGAAGTCAGAAAACAAGAAGAATCAACATGGGAATACCTTCCAAAGCTTCAGTTCCTCACCAACCAATTCAATGATTATGAAGGAAATGAAACTCAAGATGATCACTACACTCCAGAAGAAAATGATCAGGATCACGAGCCCGATCACTTTGACGCTGACCAGAGCAGCAGCTACTACATCGAACATCCTCACGAAGTGAACGTCAAGGAAGATGAATTTGATGAGTTTGACACCAAACCTATAATAATGGAGACTGACTTTTACGATGATGATGATGAGGTCCAGAAGAGTGCCACAGGGGAAGGCTCTGAGACCATAAAAGACGAGGATATTGGTTTCTTCAACAGCCTTCTCCCTCACATTAAAAAATTAGGACCAGCTAAGAAGTTAATGCTGCGAATGAAGATTCAAGAGTTAGTTTATAAGACTGTCTATAACGAAACTTAGCCTATTGATGAGCAAGCTTCTTTTGTTGAGCTATGTGAATGTTTAATTGTTGGAGTGCAGTTGATTATTTGCATATTTAGGAAATTATATCTCATGCAAGAGGGGTTAAATTTCATGTAAGATAAAAAGTTATAGATGATAATCGCGATTAAGATTAAACATATGCTTTCGATTAAGATCACGATAATATACTCGTTATTATTATTATTATTATTATTATTCTTTAAGTACTTTTATAATTTTTATTTGGAGAATTAACTTTCAAGTCGTAACCTCAAGCAACTTAACGATAATAAGCTAAACTATAATGTGATAGCGTCATTTCCCATATATTTACACAGCTATTGTGTCGTTACTCTGATTTTGACTGATTTTTAGCTAATAGTTAATTTATCATAGAAAAATCAGGTGTCAGGTGGTTAAAAAACTATAATCGTAGAATAATATCTGATTGCCTAATTTAAATCGATTGTCGACTCGTGTAAAAGTCAAGTAATGTTGATGTTCAAATATTGTTTGTTCTGATAAAAAGGAGCCAACGTTTTTTCGACATCTTCTTCATTGGCTTATTGCGTTAAAGATTTTGATCATATAAAGATACGAAATAAATTACTTAGATACAATATTATTTTTAGAATTATACTAAAATCTTAAATTTTTTCGGGATGTCAAGTATCAAAGTTCAAGCAAATCAGTGAAAACCTAGAATTGTTTTAGTAATTTTCTGAACGACATATTTTTACTATTTGCGTATATTGAAGACTGATTTCGGTTTCTAAATAAATAAAAATATTCTAAAGCAATTTAAATTTATTTTATTAACTACTACTATTAGTAGATATAGTCGTTTAACCGTATTTTTAACCGATTTAAAAAAAGGAGGTTGTTCTCAATTTAGTTATAGGTATTTTTTTTATTGTTATCCCAGAACTCCCTTATTTATGAACCTGGCCATGCTTTGTCTTTGATGGTAATCTGTAAAAACTGACTTGAATGACTAACCAACAATTCACTAGCATGTGGTTTAAATCTAAAATACTGTGTCCAACATAAATAGCAACAGACAAAATTTTGCAGGATAACACACACATATATATCTACATATATAATCACATCTATATCCCTGGGTTGAAAAAGAGTGGTAGGTCCAAATTTTGCAATTTTAGTCACAACGTAATGACGCACGACACCGTGAAAGTAAGTGTTAGTTTACTTTAATGATTGAAAGTTCATCTGCCCGGGTTTGATCCGGGTCAGAACTTGAATTGTGGACCATTCACCAATCGGTTGTTATTGCCTTCTGACTTAGAGGGCCTGACATATCAACTTAGTTTCGATGTCACCTTTTGTAGAAACGAACCGCTTCTTGGGTTTTGGTATGTATGGGTTGGCTTCGGTATGGGTTGAAATCAGTATTTATTTCGCAACACCTCGCTAAATTAGTTTTAATGTTTACTAATAATGATTAAGTATTAGTTTGAATTGCAATACCTACTGTTTATTAAATAATTGTTATTTTGGTGGTTAGCAGAGGTAATAAACTTTTTATTTTAAAACATAACATAAGCAGCCATTATTTTTCAACCGAAATTGTAGTTTTTCTACCAAAAATAATTAGTTTAAACAAAGTTTCACCGATTTCAGTGCATTGTGCGATTTTGTGAAAAATTCAAATTCATTCAAATTTGAAGAGCAAATAACAATTTGCTCTTTAAATTTGAATGGGACCAATTAAAAATGGCCAACGGTCGTATTTGTCTTACCTACATTTAAAGATATAAAATGAAAATGTTTGCGACCCCTGCCCCAAACGCAACCAAAACACTCGAGCCAAAAACGTCTACAATTAGGTCATTACGAAATTATTTAGCGGGTATGTTGTCGTACAACGTTCAACAATGGTGAATGGCTCGGTACTTGAGTGTATCGTTTTATAGTGTTTACAGAACGACCGGACGTCGATCATGTTGGCCACACAGGATGAAACACATGGGTCTATAATCGGCCGTGACATATGGAGTTCGTGTATTGAAATACTAAAAACCTTTGAAGCTTCGATTTGAAAGGAGTTCTAACAAAGAATTTTATTGCTATTGTGGATATAGGTACATAGAATTGGTTACCATGATCGATTATTCGCTAGGTTAACTTGTATTTGTGTGATCTTATTGGAAAAAGATACCATTTCTTTTTGAACAAATTAGTTAAGTATTTACATTGGTAAAAGAATTTTTTAAATCGATTTAGTGGTTTAGGAGTCACAGAGTAAAAAACCATCAAACTCCCTTAACACTTATACTCGTAATATACATACATAAATTTGAATTTAATCTTACTTTTATTCATTCGCGGTCCAAGAGAGAAAGAGCTGAAATAGGTATTATCTCAACTGCCTGTGACTATGCTAGTGTAACCGATCGATCTCCAGCTTGACCAAAGCATGACTTCGGT